AAAAAGCACAATAGGATTTTTAAAAAATCATTTGTATTACGACTGTTGCAACTCTTTGTTTCTTTTTGTTTTGAGAGGCTGAATGGTATAGTGTTAAGATTTGAAGCTCTTAGATTTGATTCTTAGTTCTATTGTGTTTTAGCCGTCTACCTTTAGGTGAGTTTCTTAACCTTTCTGTGGCTCAGTTTTTTCATCCGTAAATGGGGATAAAAATAGTAATTATCTTAATAGGGTTAATTTAAATGTTATATGAATTAACGGATATAAAAGGATAAAACAGTTCTAGTTTTTGTAGTGAGTTAAGGTTGGCTGTTATAATTGCTGTATGCTTCTGGGATTCTGCTCTCTACCTGTAGCAAATGTGCAAAATCTTATCACAGATACTGGGTTTTGTGGATTTATCCTGAATTGCTTCCCCTTTGTATTTCTCCCATCTCTGTGTGTGCATGCGTTTTAACCATATTGTACTTCATTATTTTTCTACAAGCCATTGCAAATAGTTTGGGATTGTGTGTGGGGGCATGTGTGTATATGGGGTTATTACTAAAAATTGTATTCAGAAAAAAAAATTGCATTCAGACTTGATAACCACCAAAACCTAACAGTTATTCCCGTGTTTAGGGCATGTTCCAATTTATCACATACAGATTATATGTTCATTAATGAACACAAAGATATCTGTCAAGTGGTAATAGTATCCAAATTGCACCTACAGCTACCTTTCCCACATAATAGGAACAAATACTTGTTGATTATCACCTTTTATAAGGTGATTTACCCACTACATTAAAAATAGCTCTCATTTTAGGACATCTCTTACTGTTTGCCCACTCTGCACAGATGCCCCTATTGCTTCCATTTTGAGTAACACAAATTTTTATGTTTAAAAAAAACTGGGAGTTAAAAAGTGGGAGAAGGGGGCTGGGGTGTAGCTTAGTGTTAGAGTGACTGTATATAACATGTACAAGGCCCTGGGTGCAATCTTCAGAGTGTATTTTTTTAAATAGCGGAAGAAAGACGCTTTAAAGATAGGACATCTTAGGGGAGCTGATCTGCAGAGCCTGATATTGTTGTTTATCTGATAGTGTAGAGGTATATAAAAAGAACTGCCTCTAAGAGTCACGAATTGGGTTATGTCCAGCTGGGTGTGGTGGTGCCTGCCTGTAATCTCAGCACTCTTGAGACTGAGGCAGGAGGATCTTTGTGAGTTTCAAGGCCAGCCTGGGCCACATAGTGAGCATAGTGAGTTCCAGGCCAGCCTGAACAAATAGTGAGACCATGTCAAAACAAAAGTTACATCCAGGAAGGCATTCAAGATCTGAAAAGACAACCTGTAAAAGCTTAGAGCAGCATTCGTAAATTATGCTCTTTGAAATATTGATATGTCTTAGTGTTTCTTGAGAAAAAAAGTGTTTAAAGAGCAAATAAGTTTGGGTTATATTGTGTTAATAGATTCCCTATTCGTGGAGATTTGTTATATACACAAATAGTTTGAGAGACTCTCTTATTAAAAGCAAGAAGAAAACTGAATTTTGGTTAATATTCCCTAGGTTTTTTAATAGTTTTCAGTTGAAAAATTGAAAGTTATGGGGAAATACAGCTAACATAGAATTTACCATTTTAACTATTTTTAAATGTACAGTTCATTGGCACAAATGCATTCACATTATTTTCAGCTGCCACTACCATCCATCTCTAGAACTTTTCTACATTCCCAGACTGAAACTTAGCAATTAAAAACCTCCTAGTTCCTTTCTCCCCATTCCCCTGGAAACCACCATTCTACTTTCCGTCTTGGAATTTGATTAATATAGGGCCTCATACAAGTACATGTCCTTTGTGACTAGCATACTTTACTTAGCATAGTGTCCTTAAGTTTTATCCATGGTGAAGCATGTCAGAATTTCTTGTGTTTTAGGGCTAGGTAATATTCTGTGCTATGCTGTACACCACCTTTTGTTTATCTACCTCCACTATGCGTTGCCAGTTGCTCATAGCGTTCTGTCATATGTGTGTGTCAAGGTGTATATACTAGGGATAGATATTTAGATTACTTTCACAGTGTTATTATATATTACAAACAGTTGAGGTAAACATTTTTACAGTTAGCTCCTTAATCAAATCTTAGAAGTGGGTTTGCTCAGAGAGTGTTTCTACTATACATTGTGGTACATATTATCAAATTATTCTTTAAAAAGTCCCAATTTTTATGCCCTCCATGGCAGCGCCCATTTCTCTGAACCCCTGCCAGTATTAGTCTTTTTAAAAGTTGTTTCGCTCTTTGTACCACTGAAAAGAGAAAATAAGTTGCTTTTATCTATATTATGAATGTTTTTGGCCTGGAAATCAAGTATACCCTCAAATGAAACTTAGCTACTTCTAAGCAGATTTTAAAAATATCCTTTTTGTTCTGAAAAGCAAGACTGTTGGCCTAAGTTGATAGTGTCCCTAGGTGACCATTTTGAAGGGCATATTTTGTATTGGCATTAATAAAAAGGCCATTTCTTTGTACTCACACTTACACCTGACATGCTTATATATGATTCTGCAACAAAATTGGATAGTCACTGGAAATTGGACAGCAACATGTGTTGCATTCCTACTATGTGTACCATTCTTTTTGCCAGAAGAGTTGTAGCTCTTTGGCCCTTGTCCTTGGGAAGCTTATAATCTAAGTCTTCAAGAACATGTAGTAGGAAAATGACTTATACAGTAAGGGTACTTTTACTTATACAGTAGTGTTGTGGAAAGTGACTCATGTAGTAGCACAGTTCCCAGGGTGGTCCTGTGGGAATTTAATCAGAACTGGTATTGACTGATTGTTGAGTGACTCATACTGATTCCTAAATGTATGCAGTCAGTGGTTTTTGTTGGTGTAAGTGTTGAGGCTGAATTCCTCGGCCTTATACATGATATGCAAGGACTATCTACCACTGAGCTATATTCCCAGACCAGACACAGTGTTTTAACAGAGAAGATATCTGCTGATGTTGGGATGTTTTGAGGCCTCTGTTGTATAAGGATTAAGTTGGGTGGTTGGTGTGTGCCTGCAGTGGTGTTTGCCCTTTCCTCTTTCCTTCATAAACTGTAGTGGAGCTGATTCATTTTGCTGAAAAAGATGTTCTTGAGGGTACTTTTACTTTGTCCTTCGACTTTTTGATGGCAAAACACCCATTAAATGTGTAGCTTCTTACTGCCATCCTTGTGCTTGTGTGTGTGGGGAGAGCTATTCAATATGAAGGCGTGAGTGCCTGCCCCTCTACCAGCAGCCAATCGCCTGCCTTTCTTTCCCAGTGGAAGATGGCTTCTTGTGATTGCTCTTTGAGGATGTTTACAGCTCTGGCAGTCTGTGATCTTGTGATTCTGTGACAAGTACTTCATTTATAAGTAATTCTGTGGGTGCGTACATTTCTTTGTGGTTATAGAAAAAATTCTACAAGTGAAACTTAAATGTTTCCTTTTAATTTTGTAATATCCCCAGTCCTTCTTTGATTTTTTTTTTTTTTTTTTTAATTTTGCAAGAGGGTATCACTAAGTCACTAAGTTGCTCAGACCAAGCTTGAAGTTGCAGTCCTGCCTCACCACCACCGTGGCTGGCAGTTACAGGTATTTCTAAAAACAAAACTCTTTTAGGACTATCCCCAGGAGCATATTCAATCAAGCTTTCACATTCTTTGTACTTCAAAATGATTTTGGGGAAAGGAGGAGCTGGCCCAGATGACCTGCAGTATCCTCTGTCACAAAGGAGCCACAGATTTATTTTGTCTGCCACCCACTCACCAGAGAAGGATAACATATTGATAGGTTTTACGGATACTTTAAACAAGAATTGAAAGCTGAAACTAGTGATATTTTTTACAATTGTCATGCTTATTATTAACAGCCTGTATTTATTTACTTGTACTGTCTAGTCTTTTGAACACTGTACTTGCATTATCACCTATATGTCTTGTTGTCCCTGGAACCTCTAATTTATGAATGAAGAACGTAAAGAGAAGCTAAAAAGATTAAGTATTTTGACCAAGATTGCGTAGCTAGCAAGTGGCAGGGCCAGGATTGAACCCAGTTCTGTTTCTAGGGCCTAGTTCCTGACCACTGTTCCGTAGCGTTTTCTTTGTTGAGTATTCCCGTTTAATTGAGGAGATATCATCTTATTCCTAGAATAAATGTCCTTACTTTTTTAACAGGATCAAGGAAGCAGCTCTTATAATTAGGTTTCTAAAATAAGAAATTAATTCTGTAGCAAGGCAACTTTGATTAATAAGTTTTATTTTAAAAGCACAATACTATCTTAAATCGAAGAAAGGGAAATATGTTTATTGAGCAAAATTATGTTGGTGTACACTTTTGTAAAATCCCCAGTATCTCAGAAAGCATTGTACCCGTTTAAATACTTCACAATCATATGACAGGAAGGAAAATGTAAATTGATGAAATACAGTTTTGTACTTTAGTACATCATTTGAAGAAAATATAACTCATTCCCCTACAACCTTGTAAGATAATGAGAAGACTGTATGGGAGTAAAGGTAGAAAGGAAAGAGAATTTATTGGGATTTCTTTTGTCTTTTTGAGACAGGGTCTTGCTATGCAGTTCAGGCTGGACTTGAGCTCACTTTGTAGCCCAGGCTGGCCTCAAATTCTCAAGGATCCTCCTGCCACAGCCTCCCAAGTGCTGGGATTACAGGCATGCACCACCACGCCTGGCTTGTTTTCACAGGAGTTCTGTGCTTTGAGTAACCTGACTAAGGAGTTACTATTACTTGTTTTGCAAGAGAACAAGCCTTCTTTGATATCATGGAGATCTCATTGACTAGAGCCATAATCCCTTGTGTTTATAGGATTTTCTTTCAGCTTTGATTTAATCTTTTTAAGCTCCTAGGTACAGGAATAAATGTTGATTTCCAAGGTAGCATTTTACTACACTGAATTTGTTTAAAGAATGATTCAGTCATTTTGTGCCTTATTCTTAAATATTGCTGTGTACATCATGTTTCTAGGTAGGTGAGCTCGTGAAACAATATGAAGAGGAGAAAATAGCCTTTTAAGGAAATTGGCCCACAGAAAGGATGGCCTTCTTGGACAATCCAACTATCATTCTAGCTCATATTCGACAGTCACATGTGACCAGTGATGACACGGGAATGTGTGAGATGGTTCTCATTGATCATGATGTTGACCTAGAGAAGATTCATCTTCCTTCAATGCCTGGAGACAGTGGGTCAGAAATTCAGGGAAGCAATGGTGAGACTCAGGGCTATGTGTATGCCCAGTCAGTCGATATTACCTCAAGTTGGGACTTTGGTATTAGAAGACGCTCAAACACAGGTAAACATTGTCTTCTAGTCATGTCTTCTGAACTTTAAATCAGTAAACAGTCTTATGGAATAATGTATAATGTCGGAATAGGCTCAGTGGGGGTAACTTCTGCACATTACTAGGAACATTCATGTGTCAGACTGAGGCTGAGCAACACTCTGTCTCTGCAAGTGTGAATGGAGCGGTTCTCTGGAATGGTTTTACTAGAAAGGAGTAGACAGAAGAGAAATAGGTGGACATGTGAAGAGGAAAGACACGTGCTATGCTACCTTTGTAAAAAGGCACTTGTAGAAAGGGCGGTGCACCTGTTTTGACTGCCTTTACAGAGAGCAACATTAGTCCAGTAGGTAAGACTACTTGGAGGCAGGTTTCAGGCTGACAAAATAAAGAACCTTTAATGCAGAGAGTTGAATAGCCAAAGGTGTAGGCTGCTCCCTGAGACAGTTCTTACCCCTGCAGGAATTGTAGGGGGTGAAAGAGGGGACTGAGGCAATTGAGTCCTTGTTAGGCTGATTTATTTTATTTTATTTTATTTTATTTTATTTTATTTTATTTTATTTTATTGGTACTGGGAATCAAACTCACGACCTTGCACTTGCCAGGCAGGTGCTGTGCTGCTGAGCTATATCCCTGGCCCTGATTTTATTTTAACATTTGTTTAATTTTTAAAGGGGGAAATGTTTAATTTAGCTCATGAGGGCTTATTTTTAATAGGAATTTTTATACTGGGTATGAAATTAGAAAAGGTGCCCCAATTTTTGATACCCTTATTAAGTTGGTCGCTACCCATTGATCTTTGTGGTTTAAAAATGCTCAACTTTGGTATATATATATATTTACTAGCTTTAAAATATGTATTCATTGCCCATTTTCCAGCTTATACAGTTTGGTAGCCTTTCAAGGAGAATGTGATGAACCTTGACTTTACTTGGGTATAGTGTATTGTAGTTCTCATATGACAGGGTTTTCTAGGAGATAATTTTTATTTTTTAGATCATCAAGAATACAATCTCCAAATCACCAGCAGTAACCCACTAACTCTGAGGAGAGGTCCTGGTAGGATATGTAGTACAACATTGAAAATATTTATGTATTTTTGCGGTCCAAATGTAAAGTGTATATAAAGGATTATTGCAAGTAGAGCTGGATACATTGTACAGTGAAACCCACATTAAGGTTTTAGTTCACAATTCACCGTCCATGACATCAAAAAGAATAATTTGCTCTCGTGATGGAAATAATAGCATTTCCCATATCTAAGGGAACTTTTATCAAAATAGGATTTGAGTGAAGGTTTGAATATAATTTAGAACCATTGATTCTCAGTTCTGTAGTTGAAACTGACTTCCTTGCAGGTTATTGAGATGATATCTTATATGACAGGTCAAATGGATTTCAGTAGGAGAATGCTGCTAAATTGAGAGCGTTATGATTATACTGCTTTGGCTGTACCCTTCACATTTATTAATTGCAATTGAATGTATTTTTCTTCAGTGGAATTTGGTTAGAATATATAGTGACATTGTCAGAATGCTTTCGGCAGCACAGTTTAAATTTCTGGCAAGCTTACTTTCAGTGTTTCCCTACCACAATGCCAAGGCAAGAGTGTAAAGTGGTTGAAAAGTACATTTTTTTCTTTTCTATTAGTAATGTACCAGAATAGGATGTTGAAGATTAGCAAGAGAAAACAACTTGAAGAAATGAAATCAGTTGTGACTTTCCTTTCCATTGTGATCTCTGTAATGCAGCCCTTCTAAAGGATACCAGATGGTGTTTCTTTAAAGGATCAGTTTACCAGTTTTTGAAGGTGGATCAGCTAGTAGAGTAGCAAGATAATCACACAAGTGCATGATTTTAGGTAACTCCTGGTGTTGTTGAAATTTCTTTAGGTAGCACTTAGATGCTAATAATTAATTGAGATTGTTGGTTGTCCTAGTGACTATGGAATTTACTATAATCCTTTCAGCATATCTTAAAATTTTTTAAAAGAAAAATTGTTCTTTTTAAGATTTGACTAATGTTACAAAGATACAAATCATTTATTTTACTACCTATAAACTGTTTCAGCCCACTGAAGAAAAGCTATGCTAATTTATATAGCTTTGACATTTTATAATTTTCATGATTTTTAGATAAAGGATTTTATATTTAAAACTTTAATAGTCTAGTCTGAGTTCATTTATCTTTAATTTTTGAAACGGGTAGAGTAATTCATAACAGTAATTTTATTCCTGTAATGTAATATTCACTTCAGTTCATTTGTGCATTAAAATTCCTTTAAGACCGTTATTAATGATTTATATAATGAAATGTCATATTAATCACAGAAGTTTTCACATTTTATTATTCTCTTCCATGTTAATACTATCTTTATGATCTCTATTAATGTTTTATATCCTCTAATTTCAATTATAAATCAAGAATATTTTCATGTTTTTGTTGGTATTTGCTTTTCAGGGGTGCCACCTTTAAAATTTTATGACTTTTTCCCTACATATGCAATATAAAACATCTTTATTCATATAAAGGTAGTTAATTATGTCTTTGTTTATAGTAAACTTTCATTGACAAACTTATAGTTATAATATTTCTTTTTAAGCTCAAAGATTAGAACGACTCCGAAAAGAGAGACAAAACCAGATCAAATGCAAAAATATTCAGTGGAAAGAAAGAAATTCTAAGCAATCAGGTAAATGGAAATAATTTTAATTCTTAATTCAATATTTATATATTTAGTTTGTATTATTATATAAGAACTTTTATTTTTAATTCATTCTTTTAAACCCTCTGGGTAGATACTCTTATGTTTTGAGTTCTTCCCTTGTGGCCTCGACCCTCCGAAGCCCTGTGTTCTTCACATCTTGTCTTTTTGTCCACCTTTCACTCTGGGTCACAGGGATTCATATGTGCAGGGGACATTTTGCACAAAATATGTTAATACCTTGCTCTTAGGGGCAGGGATTATGCTGTGCTTTTTTAGATGTATCTCTGGATTACAGATCACTCTGACCATTTCTAATGTAAACTTACCCTTGCCTCATTAGTGGCCCTAATAACAATTTTTTTGGTATATACGCTAATTCTTTTAGCTTAAAAACTATTATGTTGCTGGTATTATTTACATTTTAATGCTGTTCATATGGTATGGGTTAGGAAGGCTAACTATATTTAGTCAAAGCTTTAAGCTCACAAGAGGAAAAGACTTTAAAAAACCATTCTGAAAGTAGATTGCTATTAAAATACTTTACAATGGTTAAAGCATGTTTCCTAGGTTTTCTTGTCATTCTCTTTTAAAGGAAATATATAGCTGGGTGTGGCGGCATACACTTGTAACTCAACACTCTGGAGGCAGAAGTAGGAGGATTGCAGGTTCAAGCCCAGCCTAGACAATTTAGTGACTTAGAAAGACCCTTTCTGAAAATAAAAAATTAAAAAAGGGATTAGGGGTGTAGGCCATTGTGAAATTCTTGTGGGGTAGGAGGAAGAGTACCACCTTGGTTTTCAACAGATGCCTAATAAATCTTTGCTGTCTCCATTGGTACACAATAATTATAAGACTAACAATATTAACGATTATAATAGTAACAGTAGTACCTACCCAGTGCTGTATTAGGTGCTTTACATGAATTACTTAATGCAACAGTCTTGCAAATAGTGGGTATTGTGCTGGTATTTGCAGATGGGACAGAGGCCCAGAGACATTTCATTAACCTACTAACATTATACAAGTAGGAGGTGGTAGTGTGATAATACTGTGTTTTATATCCTGCTGTGTCCTCATACAAAGACCAGTCTCATACTAAACCACACTGTGTTTCTTGTTTTCTCCCACTATGATTGTAGATGCCAGTACCCTCATTAAGTATGCTTTTCCTCGTGATTGTTTCTAAATAATGACTGTAGAACAAGAAATCTCGTTTTCTTCTTTTTCCTCTTCATATCTTGCTCTGTGACTTGTAGTGCTTGAATATCTCTTTAGTTTTATTTTTGATATTTTAAAAAATCTTTATTTTAAAGAAAAAAAATTAAAACAAAATTTCCAAAACAGTTAATAGGAAGGTAACAATGGGTAATACATTGTATATTATTATCTTTAAATTAGTTACTCAGGGTATAAGATATCAACATTTAATTGTCCAAATAATGTTAGCACAAACCTTTCTTTTAGTGAACAAGAGAAATTAGTAGTATAACTATCTTAAATTATCTTTATGTATCTATCTATCTATCCTCTATCTATCATCTGTCTATCTATTATCTTTAAATTAGTTACTCAGGGTATAAGATATCAACATTTAATTGTCCGAATAATGTTAGCACAAACCTTTCTTTTAGTGAACAAGAGAAATTAGTAGTATAACTATCTTAAATTATATGTATATATATAATTTTTTTTTTGCTTTTTGCTTTTTCCTTCCTCCATTCCCCCATCCCAGTTTCTCTTTCCTAAAAAAGTCTTTCTAGGCTAGCCTCCTCTGTTGATGAGTTAATACTTCTCTCTGTTGTATTTCATATAAACTGAGAACACTTTGTATCATTCATCTTGTCCACTTTCTTCAGAATTTCCATATATGTCTTGATGTAGTTCCTGTTGATCTCTTCTTAATCAGTGAATACACAACCATTTTATCTAAGCTTCTCTATTTCTGTAGCTACCCTTTGCCTTCTTCACTTTCATGTCTTAAAAAATTATAAATAAATAAGTAAAAATAGGGTGGAAAGAGCACATCAAATATAAGTGCAGTAATCCTTTTTACAGTATGACAAATTGTTCATTTTAAATTTTGAAACCTCTAATAAAGATGATTTCATTTGCTCCTTTCCCATTCATTTCTTTAATTTGAATCCACTTTAATGGTGTTCATTACTGCAAATGGTACTCCTTTTGCATTGATTTGTAACTATGCTGTCCATTATGTACAAAAAGTGACAAAAATGCATTGAATGTTTATTTTTTATTTTTATTTTTTTTTGGTTTTTCTCCGGTACCGGGAACCGAACTCACGACCTTGCACTTGCCAGGCAGGCGCTTTTGCCGCTGAGCTAAATCCCCAGCCCCCTGAATGTTTAAATTTTAAAAATTTATCATAGTAAAAGACACATTGCCATTACTCCCCCCACACACAAATACTTCCCCTCACCTCAAACTCACATGACACACAATGTGTCATTTTTGCCACTTCCTGAAGCAATTTTAGAAGCCCTCTTTTGTGAGTAGATTTATAAGGTGTGATAGAAAGTATGGCAAATGTTGCTGCCAACTTTGTGTCATTCATCTTGTGCACTTTCTTCCAATCCACCCAGTGGAAAGGGAGACTTGTAAAAATATTACAGTGTGCCCTCATCTGTTTCAGTCACTTGATCTGGCACTGTATGACTTTCGGCCCTTCCCCAAAATCAAAATGATCATGAAAGATAAATGTTTTGAATTGATTCATGTCATCATTGCAGCCATGACAGTTGCAGTTAAAGACACTCAAGAAAGAGATCTTCCAGAACTGCTTCAGAAAGTGATAAGAACAATGGAATAAATATATTTTAAGTAAGGGGGAGTATTTTGAGGGAGATTAATGGCAATGTGTCTTTTACTGTAATGAATTTGTAAAAAAGTTTAAATATGCCATATTTTTCAGTCACACTTTGTACTTATACGTCTCTCTGTTTCCTGTCTCTCACAGATTTCAATAATTGACCTTGTGATCTAATTTCTGAAGAAAGACCTTAACGTATCTGTGTTAGTTACTTCTCTCCTTGCAGAGACAAAATACCCATTGCCAAAATTAAGGAAAGAAAGGTTTATTTGGCCCACAGGTTGTAGAGGTTTCAGTCTGTATGTAGTCAGCTGGCTCCAAGGCAAGGTGGCATGGCAGGCAAGCATTGCAGAACAGAAAGTTTGTGGCAGACAAAACAGCGAGAGGGAAGACAGGCCTCTTTCTGTCCCTTATATTGTACCTGGCTACAAGGATTAGGGTAGTGCCAAACCAGTTTAGTAATCATACACCCTTAATCCCAGCCTCACACACTCTAGCTTTAGCCACCTCTGAAAAATCTATGACTGAATGAGGCTTTTTTTTTTTTTTTTGGTCTTTTTGAGACAGGGTCTCGCTACGCAGTTCAGGCTGACCCTGAGCTCACTTTGTAGCCCAGGCTGACCCTGAGCTCACTTTGTAGCCCAGGCTGACCTCAAACTAGCAACAATCCTCCTGCCTCAGCCTTCATAGTGCTGGGATTACAGGCGTGTGCCACCACGCCTGGCTCTGAATGAGGCTTTGGAGAGACACCTAGACCCAAACCATAACAATGTCTGTCCATGTTTTAAAATGTTGACCCTAATTCTGACCAGACTGATAACCTGCTTGGTGGTCATTCCTGATAGATCAGACTTTATCAGTGTACAAAGGAGCGTTTTTGAATTCTTCCTTAGGCTGGATTCCATCATTAACTCACAGCTTGGCACTCTGGGTACCCTGAAGCATGCTAGAAAAGTGAAATCAGCAGTCCACTAAGCAGCTTCCTGGCAAACTGAGCAACCATTTTGTTTTCACACATCTTTCAAGCACACGTTCTCATTTGGCAAGAAATGCCATGCCTAAATCCTTTTACTCTTCCTTGGAGTTTTGGATAGGTAATCATCTATTCATTCCATCTTTTTTTTTTGGTACTGTGAAGCAAACTCAGGACCTTGTGCTTGCCAGGCAGCCACTGTGCCACTGAGCTATATCCCCAGTCCTCATTCCATTATTCTTTTTCTGCACATTTTATTAAATCCTTTCATAGGTTTTTCTTACCTTTGTTTTATTTTATTTTCTACTGGAAATCAATGTTATAAATATAACGAGCTCCCGTAGAATGTCCTTTTTCACAATTATTCCCTCTAAATCCAGTCCATTCTTTAAGACAGTGTAAACGTGGAGGAGTTATAAAGATGCTTAGAGGCCATTTGGTTCATATTCTGAAGTTCTTTATGAACTTACTCATCCATATGCCATGATATCACATGATAAGTACAGTACTTTAGGGTAAGATCTTTTTCATATTCCTGTAACAACATTGCATAGATACATGTGAAGATGATGTCATCAAAAATCTGCTTTATCGGGAATAATGTCATATCAGAGCCCCCGTATTTTAAATATTGTTGTTTCAAAATTATATTGGACAACTGAGAATATAGCTTAATGGGTAAAATGTGTGCTTAGCATGTGTAAGTCTCTGGGCTCAATCTCTAACACACACACACACACACACGACCAGGAATTGTAGTTCAGTGGTAGAACAGTTGCCTAGTGTGTAGGAGGCTATTGGTTCTCCAGCACTACTTTTTAAAAAAGGTTAACACCTTTTTAAATATAGTGTATATATCTTTTTTACATTATTACATTACATTGTTAATTACATTGTTAATTATATTACATTACATTGTTAAAAATAGTGTATATATCCTTTTTACATTATTTGTTGAGTCATTTAACAAGCATTTTTTCCATTACTCCTCTGTGCCTACTGATTGTGCTAAAGGCTTGGAGGAATACATGCTTCTGTCCTTAGGAAACTTGAAGTCTAATTGGAAGACAAGCATTTTACACATGAAGTGAAGTAACTCAATAGTGTCATTCACATTATTTGTAAGTAGTTCTGAAGTTTGATTATGTAACTTCCATTATTGGTTTCTTAAAGATTTCCAAATAT